AGCAGCAAATATTGAGAAAATTGCTGTGCTGTCTGTGAACTTATCATGGAAGTTTGTAACTGAGATGCATGGTGATGTCTTCACTTGATTTTGGCTCTGAAACTTTGAGGGGCATAGCAAAATACTTGGTGCCAGCCCAAATGGACTGGTATAAAAGTAAATAAATACTTTTAATAGATTGACTCTGTCTTGCTTAGTAATGTTCCTGAGTGTTTCAGCTTTGGATGTTCTTGAAGAAATTGCTCTTTCTTAGCCTAAAAGGCAGCACTTAAGATATTTAGACAGAAGTGGTGCTGCCTCTCCAGACAGGAATATTTGTATAAATGTTTAAAGTGTCCAGTTAATCTGGCAGGATTGTGACCAGGATAGTGTGCCTGTGTGCATTTACAGTGTAATTATGAATGGTTTGTGCTGTGAGACAGTGTGATGGCTGCAGTGCTGCCTCTTTGTTATAAATACAGCGTCTTCTGGGCTGTTGTTTAAAGACTCCTTTGGAAGCCTGATTTAATAGTTGAGCTGAGTGAATAATTCAAAACCTTTTTATCAAGTTCTTGTTTAAATTCTTAAATGAGCTCACCATAACCTTTTTATGTATACCCCTCCTGCATGTGTCATACAAATATTAGAATAATTGAGTTTTACTAGAGCAAATGTTTCTGTGAAGCAAATTTTTAGAGCTTGATGTATGACTGTTTATGGAAAGGGGAATGTTAAAATCTCACACACCAGTGCCTATGCCAGAAACTTGTGCTGGCTTACTTAGGAAAAGTGTGGGGGGCGAGACCCTTGGCTTTGTTGGAGCAATCCTAACTGAGCTGGTTTGTCAGATTGACTTGTTTGCAGTTCAAAAACTGAACACATGTATTTAAAGGAATTTCAGCTATATCTCTTTTTACAGGCCATTCTACAAACAGTAGCAGTACTTAGTTTAAAATATTTGCTTTTTTTCCAGATAAGTACTATTTTGACTCTTTTTTCCTTTTCTCACCCCTTTACATGAGATGAAGCAGCAGATTCAAAATGCATCTGCTTAGCATCACTGAGTAGCTTAACAAAGGGATGCAGATGAGAGAAAATCCATAGTAACCTTCCAGATTTCATCATTCCTTGGCTTGAAGTCCAGTCCAGGCTGGAGGAGAGCCTTGCAGATAAGTAATTTGAGTGGATTTAGCATGCCTACTCACATGTATTAATGTTTGCAGACTTGCTGGTGAAAACTCATTAGTGTTAAGTCACTTCTGAGTACTGATGGTCTTTAAAAGGCAAATGAAAGCCTTGCAACCAGGATGTCTGCAGAACTGGCATCCATTTGTCTTCTGCTTCTGAAGAAAAATGGAAGACTTAAAATCTAAAGCCAGCTCAAGAAGCAGGAGTTGAGGATTAGGCAGCGAGCTGGGAGATGCTGTTTTCTCAGTGGAGAATTGTTGCTTAATTGGTTACAAGAATTTAGTCAAGGCTGTTTATTCTGTTTGCAGACAAACCTCCTCCTGTGCATGCTCTGGCAGCGCTCTAACCTCCCTGGCACTGCAGTGTGTGCTTGGAGATGAGATGGAAAATCCTTCCTCTTGCAGTGCGTCAGGAGTTTGCAAAGCCTGATTCGTATGTGCAGGGTTTGCTCTGTGAATTTTGGATTTCTTTGCTGATTTTTCTCTCTGAACTCTGCTGCAGCCACCTTTAACAGCCACTGGTAATACCACATGCCCCTGGAATTGCAGGTTTGTGTGACAGTGAAACTATTATTGAAATTTTCCATTGCCTTCAGTCACAGCTAGTCCAAGTGTAACTATTGACAGTACAGATGCTGGAAACTGGGCATCTGTATATTCATACCCAGGCTATGAGAAGCACAAGGTGGTCTTTAGAAGTAGGAACTTTTAGATTTTGGGGTTGTTAAAAGACCCAAACTGACCTCCAAACCCTGGCATCATCACAACAACTAGCTTTGACTTTGCAGAAGGAGCCAAGTAAACCTGTTCTTTTTTTTTTGGCTTTCCTGAAATTGTGTATGTGTAGAGTCATATTTTCACTCAACAAAATGAATTGTGTTCAGCACTGTACCAGTGGTCCTGGGCCTCTGGTTGTGGTGTTCTGTAGTCTGTCTGCTTGAGTGGGAGGAAGAGTGTTCAGATTTGGTCTGACTCCCTTGCATCAGCTGTAATATTGCTGCAGTTGGAGCTTTACTAAGCTGAAAAGACCAAGGAAAATCTCCTTCCTGCCTCTTAATTTCCTCGTGATGATGCAGTATCAGCTCCTGTAGGCTTCTTGGACCTGAAAACAAGTGGGAAATTTTGGGTGGACTTCTGCTTGTTTGTAATTAAATATTGGTGTGACAAGAGGTTTTTTTGTGACGAGAAAGGCCCAACAATCTTACCAAACATGCAGAACAAGCAGGCTGTCTTGTCATCCCATTACATTCCCACTGCAGGAAACACCCTTTGTGCTTTGATAAATTTGTCCTTATTCATAGTGTGAAACTGCAAAATTTACATGTAAAATTGCTTTTGTGTGTTGGAGATTTATAACAGTTTGTTGTCCCTTCAGATTTGTGTTGCAAAGTGTCAGTGAAGACAGGGGAGCAATATTTATTATTTATTATGGGGTGAATCTGAGAATTGGCAGCTTTTTCTGAGGTACCTATCTGTACAGTTTGTGCTCAAGTTTTGTCTAGTATATATAAAATAACCTAAAGGAGGAGGTGGATCAAAGTAAGCTCTGGATTTTGTTGTAGCTTGATGCTGTTTGATTGCATATGAGTATTCTGCTAGGCAAGAGTTAATCTGTCAGCCTTGTCCCCATTTGCATAAGTACCATTGATACTTCACCCTCCCTGTGGTGACCTGTGAGCCATCTCTGTTGGGTCTTCATGCCATTCTAGATTTGGTTTTTCCCTCTTTCTACCCAACAAAGATTTACACTCCATCCTGGTCTAATTCGAAGTGGTGCCTTTAAGTTTTCCCACTCACATAATAGTGTATTAAAAAAAATATAATTTTTGCTTGTTTTTATCTCATTTAGCATTGTCAGAGGGGAAAACAGTTAAAGACTTGATGTGTATTTGCATTGGATGGAATAATGATGAGGTATAGTTGAGTTATTTTCTTTCTTTTAAAGCTGCTTGTGATTTTCTGCTATGGATATTTTGATTCTTGTTTATTTTGCTCCTTCATTTGGAGAAGAATAGTCTGGGAGAGGGGAAGGAAGAGGGAGGGTTTACCCCTGTAACCATCATTGTTAGCCCTAACTTCTGGTAGAGCTTTGCTGCTTTGACTCGACCCCTTTAAACTTGAGAAATGTGTTTTTGTTTGCATTTCCATCTTGTTGCATTTAGAAACTATTCTAACTATACCAGATTGTTTGAACATTAATGGGGAAATGTTTTTCAGAGACTTGATAGAGTTTCCAGGCAGCTTTTCATCCGCCAAGTACTGTACTGGGCTCTCACTGCTGAGGTTTTGCTTGGTTTGCTCTAAGAATCTGCAAAGCAACTGTTCAAAATTGCTGACACATGTTAAGTAATGTGGAAATCACCATCCTGCCCCATTGAAGTCTGAGAGGGCTCATGTCGACAATGAGAACAAGATCTGACCCTGAAAAGGATATGTGAACAGTCTCAATCTGGAGACCATTTCTAGTGTCTTTCCTCTGACTCTGGCTAGTTTGTCCTTTGCTCTTAGGTATTCTTTTTTTTTTTTTTTTAATTAGTCAATCTCAAAAAAAAATACCACATTCTGCCTCGTCCATGTATTTTTGAGTTATTTAACCACGTGTGCATATTTGACGATGCCAAGTTCAGAGTAAAATCTCAATTCTGTAGTGAAGTATCAGGAGAGTTAATGCTACTTTTAACAATAATGGTAGTGGTATAATGCTTATTTAATAAGAAATCCATCATCTTGTACCTCCCTTCTCCAAACCTCTAGTTTTCAGCTTTGGAGCAGCTGTAATCAGCCTGTACAACTTCCCTTCCTCCTCTCATGAATAAATCCAGCTACCTTATCTTCTCTATCAGAAAGTCTTCCCTGGCTTCAGCAGCCTCTGGAGGAGGGTATGAAAGGGGCTTTCACTGCCTAACAGGAAGCGAAATGAATGGAGGAACTTTTGATAATGCCCCGTCTGTCTGAGCGGGGGATCAGCCCGACTAAATTGCAGCAGATTAGTGAATGATAGTGCTTCAGCTGGGGCCAGAATTATAAGTTTTTAATCTTGGAACAAGCAATGATTTCTTCCTCCTAAACAGTGGTCAACTCCCTCTTTGATTTGGAGGCTTGCAGTCATCCATATTCAGTTAGTTTGGGTGTGTGGTTTCTTTTTTTTTTCCCCAGTCTGCAGTGATGAGTCTCAACAATCTTTTGGGTTTTTTGGTAGCAGTGATTGTGGTGAAACCTGCCATGGCCACATGCCATTTTTGCCAGTAACTTGTACTTTGCTTTGGATTTTTATGCCTATAATGAGGTCTTGTATTTCCCAGCTTTCTTAATATTGGTATGTGTTATTCTGCCTCAGTTTTTTGCAATTAGCTTTGGGGTGGTTTGGGTATTTTCTTTATATGCAGCATTTTTCTTTCTGGCCACTTTCAGTCATACTCTGTGTGTGAACATGGGTGACTCCTTGATTCTCACCCCACAACTTGGTCTAGACTTTCTGATAATCCAGCTCAGTGGGAGGGAGAGATGACTGAAAATCTAAATGGGGCAGTTTAGCTAATTGCCTTAGGCCTGACTCGTCTGCTGGATAACACTGGTTTTATTGCAGCCCAATGTGATTGACATTTGGGGAATTGCACTGGTATAATGCTGGCAGCAGCAGTGAAAAATCTGCCCTATTGTTTCTCATACATTCACTGTCTGAGGAAGAGCTTTTTGTTACAAATAACTATCAGAATGGCAACTAATAGAGGGAAGTTACTTTTTCTTGAAATCACTGACTTTTCCAATTCCTAAGAAAAAAATATGAGTAATATCCTATGTACTAAAACTTTGCCTTGTCTATGTTTTTTTCAGGCTTTTTTTTTCTTGGATTTTATTACTGGAAAACTCTCTAATGACAACTTTGCTTAGGTAAGTGAAGCAAGATTTTTTCCTGTGGATTTTTTTAGAATTACTTCCCCTATCTTAACTTCTTTTGCATGTTGGGCTGAAATGTTGTGCTGCCAGCCAGCTGTGCTGCGTGTGCTGTGGTTAAAGGCTAGAAAGATGTTGTAAACAAAAGTGGGGTAATGCCTCTAGTGTGACATAAGGACCTCATTTATTCATTACATCAGATGAAGTGGACGTCGTGCAGAATAATGAAATACAGGTTATATCTGCATATTACTGCATAATCTCATCAATTTATAATTTTTTTAAGAGATGCTCTGCTTTTTTTTCCACTGGAAGGTAAACTTGTTGCTATCATGTAATGTCATTTTGTTATGAAATGCAACCTTCATGCTTAAAGGTTTTTAGATAAGTTGCTCTTCCTCCATCCCTTTCTCTTCCCTTTTACTCTTAGGCAGGAACTTCTGATATGGAAAAATCATAAAAAGCTTGAAGAGTTTTATATTTTTTTCAGCCCAAAATACAGGGAGAACATGAACAAAATTAACATCCCACTTTGATCTGAGCCCCATCTACACCTCTAAAATGGAGATTCCACATAATTGGCAGGATCTGAGTGTTGATTGAAAGCACCTGGTCTTGTCTATTTCTAAATTTTGTCTATCTTTGGGGCATTCTGAGAACAAATCCAGTGCTGTGGTGCCATGGATGTTGGGTGGAAGAGCTAAATGTGCTGCTGTACCAAAATGTACTGTTTTCCTTTGTGGTGGAGAGAAGACTTAATTAACCTCTGATGCAAGACAAGAAGTTAATCCCTAGACATACGGATAATTTGTTGTGTTAGTTGGAGTTGCTTGTTGATCCTGGATAAGGCCAAAAACAACTGCAGTGTTCAGGTAGGAATATAATATCCTAACATCTATCCTGACAAAAGTGCTGCTGCTCTTTGCAAAGTGTCTGTGAAAGGCTTTTCTTTTTTCCCCTGTCTCTGCTTTCTGCAGTATCCACCCCCTCTTCCTTTTGATCTCCTTCCAGTGAATGGTCAGCACAGCAGCTTCTCTCCTTGAGATGAGGGACCTTGGTGAAATAAAATTGATTGGAGAAGACTTCTAGTTTAAGGCAATCTGGTTTTCAAGGAGGACTTTAGGAGAGTGAAGACAGACAACTGCAGAGAGGCTTTTGAGTTCCCTTTAGTTTTCCTTTTAGGTAGCTCATCGGGGTTTATCCATCTGACATTCCTTTGCCAGGATGCTGAACTCAGGATGTTTTGTGTGGTGTAGCTTTTGTCTTTTCCAGAAACACATGGGGATGGGCTGGTGGACTCCAAACTGTGAGTGAGCCAAAAGGTGGAAAAGTCCTTAGCAGAACCCTCTGAGATAGATTGGGATCCAGCACTGCATTGCTCTTGAGACCTGCCATTGCACTGTGCTTGAGCTTCCCCCATGTCTCCCGCAACTGCTTGAGCAGTGACTAATTTGCAGCCTGAGGATGTATTTGTTGGTGCCACTGCCTGTCCAGAGGATGGAGAGGACTCTACAAATGAGGGAAGTATTTAGGCATCAGTTTTAAGTCCTTTTAACACTGTACATTAGACACATCTATGAATATATGCAGACTGAGCTAATAAATAACCAGGGAATGGTAGTTAAGAGGAAAGGGCATAATTAATTCTGTCATGTACTCTGTTTTAAAGTTGGGTCCAGAGCAGTAATGTGTTAGGCTGGGAAGGTAAACACTGTCATTATTCAGCAACAAAACATGTACAAGGCTGACATTGTTTTCCTCCTTTTGATATAATATTTTTTTTGCAATGCTTGGAGTGGTGGTCTTTGGTGTGGTAGGAGCCTGATGAAGCCTAACTCTTTCCAAAGGGTCATTGCTCCTTTATTTGAGTTGAGTTTTGTATTAATGCTGCTTTGCTGACACAGAATGTGTGCTGTTCCAGAAAGCTCTTACTGTTTGCTGTGGTTGGGATGCTTGGCTGGAATTCCTGCAATATAGTTTGGAGGGAGGTATTTCTGTTTCATCAGGTGATCCCTTTTCAACCCCCCACACTGCAGTGTTAACCCAGGTCAACTGTACATGGCACACAGAAAAAAAATCCTTTTTGTGCAGATGCTGTTAAAAAGCCAGCATGAGTTTACCTTGTATATACATCTTTTTTTTTCTCCTTCAACTACACCAGCATGCAGAGAAAGGTTTGACTTCAGCAAATGCAGCTTTGCATGGTCTTTCAAGGTTAATGTGTTTGGATCATTCTTAGTGGGGAGAGGGATTTGGGGACTCCTCTCTTTGCATCTTAAAGCATTTGAAGTTGCTGTGAGAATGATGATATATTTGCTGAAAGGAAGAGTTGTCATGGTAAAAAGTTAAAGCAAAGTAGTTAACTTTTCAGCATGTACAATAAATAGTAATAGGAGAAAAAGCTAAAGAGCTTGTAGTTTGAAGTTCCCCCTGCTTACTGTTACTCATAGCACAGCCTCTCTCCTCTCCTTCATACTTCTCATTTTAGCAAATGAGAAAAACAAGCAAAGATTTAATATACATATTTCTGTCTTGACTGTGCCCCACATGACCCACCCTGGATATCAGCTTACTTGAGTTTGCATAAGTGAAGATGGTGTGTATCCAAAGTGGGTTTGTGTTGTTCAACCCCTCAGTGCCTCTTTCTGTTGAGTTTTCTTACGAGCTTTGCAGCTCTGGCTCTTCCAACAGAAGTCTTGGACAAAAAACACTCATGGAGACACCAGTGGAATAGCTGATGCAGCTCAGCAGCCACCTCCTAAAATAAGTGGTGGAAGGATGCCTGTTTCTCTTAGCAGTATTTTCTTTGGAAGATGAGCATCTCCTCAGCATGTCCTTGGCTTCTGTGTCTCCCTAGCAAGCTGCAGCACTGAATGCTCCTTCTTTCACTGTTCCCAGCTCAGTTTAAAACTTCTTCATTCAAAGTATTTCTGTGGTCCTTCAAGGTCTGCTCTGTCTGATTGCAAAACTCTCAGGAATTTGGAGAGGGAGTCCTTCTTTTGGGTGGATTGAAAAGAAGTTGCGTGTTGTCAACTTGCACAAGGTCTTTCTTCAAAGTATGAAGTATTTTTTAGGGGGAGAGATCTCTTAAAAAATTATTAGCCCTTGGTGGGTGGCATGAACAGCATTGACTGGAGGGGCAATTGTTCTGTGGTTCATGTGCTGTTTATTTTGCAGGCAGTGATGTTTTTATATTGCTGAGGCAGATGGAGGGATTCCCAGCTCCACAATCATGGCCCTGGGGAAGAGGAGCTGGTTTTAGGTTTCACCACTTGGAAGATGAGGTTAGCCTGAGACAGAGATGCATCCCTGTGTATGGAAATGGTCTTGGCCCAGATCTTGTCTGGCGATGTAAAGCCTGAGAAAGGACCAAGAGGTCAGCTTCAGCGTTTTAAGGAATGTGATATATGGGCATTCTGTGGCATGTGTGGACTGCTGCTTTTTTATTTCAAAAAGGGTAAAAAATGTACTTGCAAGCTTATGTGGTTTTTTTAAAAAACACACTAATTAGAGCTACAATTAACTCTAAAGTAGAACCTACTTTACAGCTACATAAATATTTATATCTCTGATACTGAAACACTAATGATAAAGAATCCCAAGAGGTTTTTTCGTAGCTATAAAGCAAGGAAGATTTCTCCCATTCTCTCCCTCTTAGAACCTTTCTTCCACTTCACTTACTTCCCTCCTACTGAGCTAAACAACATTCTCAAACTGCACACACTGGGACTTTTTTTTTTTTTTTTTTGCATCTATAGCAGTCTTAAGTAATTACTCTGCAGTTCTAATACTTGTTACAGAAGTGAGCTCCTCTTCTTGTGCCACTCAATGGTATCTAGAAAATTGAGGTTCTGAAACAGGCTAAAATGAATAGAATCTTGTTTCCTCTTTGCTCACATGGGTACTTATTCACTTCCCCATCTGCTTTGACTTTGAAGGCTGCTGAGGTTCTTCCTCTGTCTGACCCACTTGGCATAAGCTAGAGAGGATTGTCTTTCTTCACTAGCCAAGTTTATAGGGCTTCAGCTTGTTCGTAAATAATCGTAGAGTTTTGAGTGCTGCCTTTCTCCTTCTCTCCCCTTCAAAACTGACCTGCTGTCATTTGTGTACAAACTGGGAGAATATTTTTTCAGTGTATAGATGGAGGAGAAGATTTGTGCAGTCATTGGACATGAGAGGCTGTAAAGTGTGCTGAGATTTCACTCAGGATCCATGATTTTGAGTATTCATCTCATCCACTTTCAATATGTGATCCCAGCACAAAAGAGTATCAGCTGTAGAGGAGGGTTTTTCTCTGCTAGTCCTTGTACAAGAAGCACAGAGTACAAAATACAGGGCTTGGATATGCAGAGGCATCTTTATAGGAGTGTGTAAATATTTAGTATACTTCAGGGAAGGACAAGGTGTTGCTCTGCCTTTGCTTTCACACTGAAGTACCTGCACCAGGAATTGGTTTGCATGTGTGAATGGTTATTTTAAGGTAGCATTAAAACTCACTTTCAGCTTTACTGAAGTTCTGCAGACCAGCCTCTCCTGATTGGAGCTTTGAGGCCTTGTGATCTGCATGTGGTCCTTTTGGCTCTTGGTAGCAGGAGATAGCAACCCTCTGTGGAAAGATAGGCTGTAATTTTGTCCTGCTTTGAACATGTGGGATTTTTAGTATTTCCTATGAGATGCATTACTAGTATAAACAAACTGTTTTGTTTAGTGTAAGCTCTTTATCCTGGTAGGATTTGAGACATCTTATAAAGCAATCACTGTAAATTTAAAACTAATATTTGGCATTATTTAAATAAACATAAAGCAAAATAGTATACAAACAACACAAGTTCCCAGCCCAGGGACCCGAAAGACAGACCTACTTGGATGTAGCTTGTGCACTTTTTGTCCATTTCCCTGTTAAATTTAAAGCATTATGCACCTAATTAATACCTTTTTAAATTTATGTCAGTGATAAAATGGATAAATATTGCAATGGACACAGATTTTACTGCTAC